TTACGGCGAGATTTACCGAAATGGGACACAGACATGAAGTGAACAAGTGCTGTTGGGAAAATGGCAGCAATGGGCTTGGTAGAAGCAGGATTGCCACAAATCTTCAATTTGTAAAAAATGCATGATCTGTGAAACGCAATCAAAAGAGGTATGCCCATACTGTGTCTTCCTATACAGACATGCCTATGATAAAGTATAATATATTAATTGGGCATAGCAAGAGCCTAACCGTAACTGGTAATAAGAATAATTGTAACAATACGCTGTAATAAAAGTTATGTGAACACGGTCTCTCTCTCAAAATACCTTACCGCATTGTACTCACCCTGCTTCCTGGGACGATATGAGAGGGTAAAATGCCTACATGAGGACGCAGAGGGGAATGACGCAGCATTGTGATGTAGCATTAGGCTACGATTGACCTTCTGACGATTCATCAGAAAGAGGATCATCTGCTTCCCCACAGTAGTTGAGGGCAGCAGGCAATTGGAACTGCAGAAGGGAAACTGCAGATAAGAGGGGACAGCCGTGGTCTCCCCTTCTACCGCTTCTCAATTATTCACCAGCTGCCTTTAACGCTTCCACAAGGAAAACTCCAAGTCTTTTTCAAGGTAACGTGTCATATTTATTGGTGTATTTATGCACTATCTGACCAGTTAACGTGTAAAACAGTGCCACCATTTTTATTGGGGTGCTATCCTTTTTTTTTAAGTGTGTCACTGATGAAGTTTTTTATGTCGCCTACTGCCACCTTTCCCACGAGCCCCGTGTTTTTGCATTATCTTGCATGCTGTCGTGATTTTTAGGGTATGTGTCATTAGAGCAGAATCGTACCCAGTGGACTTGTGGTTGATGGTGAATAACTTTCTTTCTCATCTCCATAGATACCTAAGGCTCCTAAAACTGTTGGAGCCTCTGTTAGTCAGCAAATGCTGTCTGGCCGGCAGTACTGTCACATAATTAAAACCAATAAGTAGTTACTCATAGACAAATACATGCCCGGCACTGTGATGAGCAGTGGAGATACTGGCTATAAGAAGCACTGCTAAAGGTGGGGAGAGAGAGCGACAGAGAAAGAGAAGAGAGAGAAGTAATTACAATAGAGGGAACCGATGCTATTCGAGAGTATAGCAAGGTCTTCTCTCCAGACTTCAGGGAGTCAGCAAAGACCCCCCAGAGGAAGTGTTCCTCTTTCCCAGATCTCTTCACTCCCATCCTACTCTCCTTGTCCCCCTCTCTGCCTCCTTACTCTACTTCCTGAGTTACCATGCTATCACACTGGGCAAGGAGGCAGCACAGGGAAGAGTTAATGTGGCACAGGTGGGAGGTGTATGGGCCCTGAGGGAAGCAGGTAGAACAGCCTCATAAAGGGCCCTATAGGCATTCATCAAAGTGAAGAAAAGCTGCCAACACACAGCGCTCAGGATCTTTCTCCAGTCAAGTCTTCTGCTGGTGCTTTCCTCATTCATTTATCCATTTAATGTTTATTTATCTTCTGCTGTGAGCGAGATTCTGGGTAGAATCAGTTCTACTCACCCTACCTCCTCCAACATCAGAGATGTTTCTTCCACGTATGGCTGCTACTCTGGGTTGCATACCCTTTCCTCCCCCTCTGGCACCTCCATTCCCTCTGGCACCCCAATATTAAGACTTTGGTGGGACTCCTTTCTGGATCATGAAGAAGGAAGGGAGACAGAGAAGTTCCCTTTTTTGCTGCCATCTCTCTTTCTCTGTTTCTTCGCAGGCCCAACTTCAACTCTCCACCCGGTGTTCAAAACCCAGCAAGTTTTCTCCTGTCACTGCAGGAGACGGCTTCACTGCAGGTCCAGTCTTCCTCTTCCTGTTTCTCTTTTTCTCTCTACTCATCTTCTCTGAGGGTTGATGCCCGGAATGTTAAAGCTGGACAATACTACAATCATGTGTCCACCCCCAGTGTGGAGCTGAGGAAGCTGAGGCCCAGGAGCTCTGCCTAAGGATACACATTCGAGGACAGTGCAGCCTGGGCCTGATCCCCAACCAGCTCTGGCTTTCCCCCACCTTACAGAGACTGAGACGGACTCTACTTTGGATCCTGAGAAAGAAAAACATGCATCTCAGCCCCAGCTCTCAGGTAACCTCCAGCTATAGCAGCCCCTGCAACAGGGAGGCTCTCCTTTCTCAATACCAGTGTCTCCCCATTTCTCCCCCTACAACACTCATGGGCTTTCAGGCATGAAAGATTCTCCCATTCAAGCTGGGGTAGCGACCTTGATTATCCATCCAAAAACCTTAATCAAAGGTTATAACCCCCAACCCTGCACTACCCCTACACGTACCCCATGGATGGGTCTGTGCCACTGTGACTCCCTCCAAAATCTCTCCAGCTCTTCCCTATCAGGAGTCATGCCCCCATAAGCCCTAAAGCCTTGCCCCCCACAGGATGGCAGAAGGTCCACATCCCAACTCCACCTTCCCACGCCCAACCTTCTTCATACTGACCGGCATTCCAGGACTAGGGGGTGCCCAGGCCTGGTTGACACTGGTCTTTGGGCCCATGTATTTGCTGGCCCTGCTGGGCAATGGAACACTGCTGGCATTGGAGCAGATAGATTCCACACTGCAGCAGCCCATGTTTCTACTCCTGGCCACACTGGCAGCTACAGACCTGGGCTTAGCTACATCTATAGCCCCAGGGTTGCTTGCTGTGCTGTGGTTTGGGCCCCGGCCTGTGCCATACAGTGCCTGCCTGGCCCAGATGTTCTTTGTCCACGCACTGACCGCTGTGGAATCTGGTGTGCTCTTGGCCATGGCCTATGATCGTGCTGTGGCAGTAGGGCGTCCACTGCATTATCCTCTCCTAGTCACCAAAACCCGTGTAGGCTATGCAGCACTGGCACTGGCACTGAAAGCTGTGGCTATTGTTGTGCCTTTCCCTCTGCTTGTGGCACGATTTGAGCACCTCCGAGCTAAGACCATTGGCCATGCGTACTGTGCACACATGGCAGTGGTAGAGCTGGTGGTTGGTGACACACGGGCCAACAATTTGTATGGGCTGGCACTTTCACTGGCCGTGTCAGGTATAGATATCCTGGGCATCACTGCCTCTTACGGGCTCATTGCCCACGCTGTACTGCGGCTGCCTACCCGGGAGGCCCAGACTAAGGCCTTTGGCACGTGTAGTTCCCACATCTGTGTCATTCTGGCCTTCTATGTACCTGGTCTCTTCTCTTACCTCACACATCGCTTTGGTCGTCACACTGTCCCAAAGCCTGTGCACATTCTTCTCTCTAACATTTATTTGCTGCTGCCACCTGCCCTCAACCCACTCATCTACGGGGTCCGCACCAAGCAAATCAGAGACCAGCTCCTGGAAATCTTCACTATCAGAAAAAGCCAGTTGTAAGAGAAAACAGTGGAGTCTGCTGGTGGAGAGGGGACATACAGAAGAGAGTCTAGGGCCTGGAGGTGTGAATTATGTCAGCTTTGTCCCACTGTCTACATATGACTGTGATAACCACTGAACAAATATTTGCTATGAAGTCTCTACTATACACAATCACTAGCATATGCAGGCTTTGGCCTATCCATGTATCTTGCTCAGGAGGCGGAGGCAGGGGGCTACATGTTACAATGCAGGAAAATAAGATCAGGAATTACCATGGTTCATAGTACACAAGATTTAACTTAATGAAAACTCTCCTCTCCCCGCTGCCATCATTTTTACCTAAGTCTCCCCATGTTTCCACACAAAAGCTCCTCTACAGATGCTAGACCTAGGGGTCTGGGAAGAGTGACGCTGCCTCAGGAGGCTAGTGTTTGGGTCCTTGCCTGGGATCACAGCCCTCTCCACTTCTGGATCCAGATTCTATTTTCAGCCTCTCCTTAGGGAAAGTTACAGGCTTATTCCCCACGTTCTGAGAATCTGGATAATGTGCCCAGATGGGGGTCCCAAATTTGGCCAGCATATTGATCTTTACCATTCCCAGTCCAGAGAATCCTCTTGGTCTCTTGTAATTACTACCCCCATTCTCCTGTCAATATCTCAAGAATTAATTGCTAAAACTTCTCTTCCTGGGCCTACAGCCATAGGGGTCAGAGGTCCAACTGAAAGAAATTTTGATATCCTGGGAAATAAGCACTTCACCTGCTTGTCTGAAGTCCAGTTACTGTGGTCTCTTACCAGTTTGCTCTTCTCTGCATCCTCAGTCAAGAACATTGAATTCCCAAATAAAACCCACATTAGTACCCCCATTTGTCCTGGTCAACATCATTAGATGTACATGATGTTGGTGCAACATGATTAAATAGGAGTATTTTGTACCGCTGTGGCTAGCAGAGAATAGAGGTATTACACAGGAAGTGTCATGGTATTGCCCAACAGGTGACTGACTTTCAGTTAAGACTCTGCACTGGAAGGGACACTGCACAAAAGATCTTTCACACCAGCCAAGAATGAATATAATCTCAGGCAAAAGGCAGGGATTCACCATTATAAGGTTGGAGAAAGCTACAGGCTGCACAGGCAGACCCAAGCTCTCTGGGAAAACTATCATAACTGCAGGTACTAGAGTCAGCCATGAAGACCTAAAGGCAAGTGCAGGGCTGACCACTCAGCAGATAGTGCACCAAACATCATGGAATACCACACAGCAGAGGAGGCTGCAGATCTGAAAAAGTAGGTGATATCCTCTCCAGGGCCACATGATGTCTTACCACGTCCTCATTAACAAGGAGCTGAAGAGATAGTGCAGAAGTTCGGCATGATTCTCAGAAGTGTTGTCACACTGAGGAGATCTACAGTTGTCCTTGAGGGTGGGCTCACTCATTCTCAAGACTAACCTTTTTCATGAGGTTGAGTTAAAAAAAAACTCCTCAGGCAACGATTTTGTGGATAATTGTGACAAAATCCCAATCCTAATTGGTCACGAGTCTTTAAGATGTCCATATTCTCTTAGAGATGCCTCTTTAATAAATCTATCCTAACAAAATAATTAGAGATATAAACAAAGATGTATGCAGTAAGATATTTATTACAACATTATTATAAAGAAATGTGTATGTGACGTCCTGTGTCACACATACACACACACACATTTTTTGCCTTTCCCCTCTAGTACACGAAAAGGGAAATCCTATGCAGTCAATGTTCATAAGCAATGAATTCCGTCACCTTCCCACCACAGGAAACCTCTTGTCTAAGGCACCTTCATTCCCTGGTTGTGCACAGCTCCCCAAGGCAGCTGATTTCCAAAGTTGTGCATTGCCCACTGCAAGAACCTTCTTTCTTCAAGCCAAATTCCACCCTCTTGGACATTAGTTATTTTGTTTTAGATTGAGATCACACACCTACCACGTGATGTGTTTAGAAGACTACCAGCACTCCCTTACTCCTCACAACAACCTGAGAGTAATCCTATAATCCCTTACCCACAGTTCCAAAATAAAAAAAATCTCTGAAGAAACAATATTTTTTGTTATAACTTTGGTCCAAAACCTAACCTGAAACATCACAATGGTATTTACAGTATTTATTTATCTCACTTGGTGTGAATATTCATACATTTAAGTTCAGAAATATTGATGTGTTCGATTATAGGGCACTGCCCTAAACCTCTCTGGGGTACTCCTTTATATAGGATAAAGGCACTATATTCCCTTTCTAAAATTCTGACATCCAAAACACATCTATCCCTAAAGGTTTCAAATAAGGGATTAGGGCCTTGTACAGTTATCCCTGTAGCCTAAGAGAAGTGAAGAGACTTGTTAGGGCTCTTTATCCCTCCAAAAGTTCTATCAACACTATGCTATAGTACCCTGGAGGTTCTTGCGGAGAACCCCATGTTCCCTAAATAACAGCCCCTGCCTGTTTTGTTCCTCTCATGTTCTTTAGTCCAGTCACCACTCAAATATGTTGCAGATGATCTGTCCACGGAAACCCCGGAATGTGCCACACTGGAGGCAACCCAATGGGCAAGCTATGGCCCAAACAGCCCAGCCCTTAGGCTCATCGACTCCATCCAGAACTCAGTTGTCATCTGTTTTCCTTCAGCAACTTTCAATCCTCGGACTCTATGAGCCAAAGGGAAAGAGTCTCATTTAATGTCAGGGTAGGGCAATGTGGAATGCAGGGAGCTTAAAGAATCATGATCATCAGCAAAAGAGATGACAGTATGGGCTTCTGCCTGAGAAGTTCATCTATACCCAATTTCCCTCTCTTAACCTCCTCTATGAAAATCTGAAAAAGAGATCCTCTTCACATTTCACAAACAGCCCATCATCCCTATCCCTACCCCATCCACCTCCTTCTCATTCTGGAATCCCCTTAGGATATGGATGTACGTCATCCCCTGCCCATGTTTATCAGTAACTTTCATATCTGTACCTTTGCATTTCTGCCTCCTTGCACTGTCTGTTTGCCCCATGTCTGTGTCCCTTGTCCTGGTGTCTCTCTGCTGTCTACCTCATTTAGGATTCCTTTCTGGAGGGAACAGAAGTGCCAACCATACTACATCAGATGACCTCTCCTGGTGTAGGGCTAGGAGGGCACTAGAGGAAGAAATTTGGTTTTGCCTGCCCTGACAAGAAGCTTGGGGTTTCTGGTTTGGCTATTGCAGTTCTCTTATCCTACCTGCTTCCTTTTTACTAAATGACTTTGCACATCCACTGAGCAGGCGCCCTCCCACCATACACTCAGGGAACAGAAGGGATACAGCAATTTCTTCCTTTACCAAAAAGAACTACCATTCAAATTTTAGTTTAAAAAAGCTGGAATCAGGCCGACTTGGATTTGAATCCCAGACTGCCATTAACTCACTGTATCCCTTGCACTAATCTACTTAACCTCTCTGAGCCTGTTAATTCACTTGTAAAATGAGGAAATAATAGTACCTACTTCAAGAAGTTACTAAAAGGATTAACTAGGATAATGGATTCAAAGTGTTTGGCACAGCCCCTAGCACACAGGACTTCAACAAATATCTGATTTCAGTTCCTCTCCTGGAGCAATCCCATGCCCACATCAAATCTTTGCTTAAACACCTAGCACCCATACCATTAGCTCCGTCTAGAGAGACTTACCCTCCCCTGAGGCCAGTTACATCATGTAGGACCATTCCTTGTGCCACCTCAGCCAGCTCAGACTATGGCCAACTTCATGGGACAGCCCTACATGCTGGGCCAGGGATAGGAAAGGATGCTCCCCATACAGAAGTGGTCTTCCTAGGAACACAGGAGATTCTCCAGAGGGACTCAAGAGAACTCTTTAGACAGATAAGAGGCAGAGTGGAAGCTACTAGAAAGGCTCCACAGAGTGGCTCTTCCCCAAGGAAAAACCACTGTTCTCCAGCAAACACCAGGTTGAGATCTCTGAACAGAGACACAAAGGGAAATCACACATAGATTAGGGCTGCAGCAGGAGAGAGCCAGCTACACACAGATCAGCCTAGGTCAGGGAGTGGTACATGAAAAAAAATTTCCTCAAATTTACCTGGGTAATTCTGGCTTCCTAAAAGTCCTCTCCAGTTACTAAGGCAACATTACCCAATTAGATTCTTAACCTCCACACTGCCACCACTCATAAGGCATCCTCCTACACACACACCTGGTTTTCATTGCAATTGTAACCCACTCATTAATAATGTGTTTCAAGTTAGGCTACACATCAGAACTGCCTGAGGAGCTTTTAGAAATCCTGATGCCTAGGCATACTCCAGACCAATTAAATCAGAATCCCTGGGGGTAGGATCCAGGTATCTATAGTTTTAAAAGCTCCCAGGTAATTCCAAAGTATGACCAATGTTGAGAATTACTGCTTATTTCTCAGTCTAAGTCCTGTTTTATACTTCTCCCATGTCCTTCAGGACCCTTACCTAACCTCACAAAGAAGTCATCAGCAGCTGATAATACAGCACAGCAAATTGCTTCAGGAGACTGCTGAAGGGGGAAGCCTGATTCTGCTTCCTTAAAGAACTCAGACCAAGAAATAAGAGCATACACACACACATGGACTCACACAAGCACACACATATACAAATCCACCCAAACACACCTGCATTCCTCTCCCCTAAGGAAGAGAATGGGTAAGTCACTCGAGAGCCTGGACTCAGGCTGTGGGCATAGTGAGGCTAGTAGAGTGACTGTCCTCTCCCCACCCAAGGCCCCATTATCTACAGGACCTCTATGACCTCATGTTGTAGTAGGTCAAAGCCTAAGGCCTGGGTCCTCACCTCCCTGGGCAGCTTGGGGTTCCTGCAGCAGCCACTGCCCTGCCTAACCCCTCTCACACCCCACCATGTTGGTTGGTACCCCCCACCTGCTGACACTGGATGAAGCTGATGCCACCTGGACCCTCATCAAGGATAAAGTAAGAGGGCTAAAAAGAAAGTAAGAAAGTGTGACCTAGATGGATCTGAGCAATTTATGAGTAGAAAGACAATTCCTTGAAAGGCAACAGGAATCGATGAGAACAGTAACAAGTGCTAAGTCAGGGCAGGACTTAGGAGGTCAGGAAGGCCTCCTGGAGAGAGTGACATTCTAGCTAGGCAAGTAAATGTTATTCTCATGTAGAGGGAAAAGGAATGCTTGACTCATAAATGGTGCTTAATAAACACCTAAATGAGTTAATGAGCAGGTGGATGGGTGGGTAAGTGAACAGTGTCCTAATTAAAGGTACAGCATACGCAAAAGCCAAGAGGAAAAAGAAAAATGCATATTTGCAAACTGCAAATAGTCCTTTAGAGCAGAATTCAAATGAGTAGTAGTGAAAATGAGGTCAAAGACGTCCAGGGGCCGATCACGAAGGGCCCTTTAAACTTTCTAAAGGAACTTCAATCTCTTCACAGATACCTCCTTCACCTTTAGCTTCTACAGAATGGGAAATTTGGGTTTTGAGCAAAATAGGTAGATTTTCAAGAGCAGGCAGAGCTGTATCTAGATGCAGGTACGCAACAAATCTCATCAAATCCAGATGGCTACAATTGCTGAATTTGGAGAATTTGGGGATCAGGTTCCAGTTATGTGATCTGAAGGACAGTGAATTTCAAGCGCTCGTAGAAGGCAGCCCACCAATTTTAAAACAACCATCTTAAAGTAGCGCCTGCCAGACTCAAAGCAGCCTTAATAGCATGGGGCTCCCATCTGAAATGGAGCAGCAGCTCACCACAGAGGTCAGCCTCCCAGGGAAGTAGAAATAGGAGAGTCGAGGCCTCCCAAAGTACCTGGCTTCAGCAATGTAAAAGATTGGTCTGGACAAGATCAAGCATTTTATTAGAATGAAAGTAAATATGATCATCAACTAGTGGAAAGCTACACTATCTCTCAGCATCAAAAAATTTCCCTATTCAAATGGAAAATTGTCAGGAAAGGCAAGGTAATGATTCAGGATAAATCACCAGTGGTACGTGGCAAATTCAAGGAGCAGGACACCTCTGAGTGACCCGGTTTCCTCTCTCCAGAACTGCTGAGAGTTTATTGAGTACTTTTAATACACAGAGCTAACCAAAACATGGCTCAAAAGCTCGTCATTCAGCTCAAACCACCCAAGGTACATCCAGGAAGAGTCTTCCACCCTCACTTTCCCAAGCTGCCCCTGGGAGATCTAAATTTGCAGGGGTCTATATTCCACAGAACTTTTACCCAGAAACAAAACTGCAATGGGAACAACAGGTAGTGGTCTCAAATGGTGACTCTACCAAGAATAGTCACCCTAGCATGGAAATTTTATTTTCCCTACCTTAAGATAACTACTGGGGGCCTGAAGGGTAAGAAAGAGGGCCTGATATCCCGCCCACCCCAGGGCAAATTCATGTCTATATTCTGGGGAAAAGCCTCCAGGTACATTAGTGAGTCACCTCTTAGCAGACACGTGGACCATAAGAACCAGGTATTTGTCAAAATCCCATTAGAGAGTTACCTCCTGGGGACACTCCTATTTGCCTTATTTGTATAGGAACCTAGGGAACAAAGGAGCAACGAGGGTAGGATTCTGAAGTTATACTTGGTGACTATGCTTTCTTCATCATGGGACAGAGCATTCTATACAAAATGCCAACCCACCAGTGCTCTGCTGTCACCCCTGGGAAATCCAAAGGGACCTTCTTAGAGCCCTGTTCTTCAGCATGATTCCCCCACCAGAAGGAAAGTATTCCATGTCTCAATGAAACACAGGAGAGGAAGATGGGAAATTCTTCCATGCACATTAAGAAAGAGCGCCATTTATTTCCTTGGCTAGGTGACAAGAGACAGTAGTCTTCAAGCTACTTCAGCTTGTTTTAAGTGCAGACACAACTCCATCAGTTAACTACCTTCCTCTTATGCTATGCAGTCACACTTCTAAAACAGCTCTATGTAGCAAAAAAACCAGATGGCCTTAAGGGATCACTGATGAATTCTATCAGAAGGCCAGCAAGGTGGGCAATGCCAGCAGCAGGGAGACAGGTGTGTGGGAATTGAGGGCTGAGGAAGAGGAGTAGAACAAACAGGAAAGGGACCCAAAAAGGAAATTTTACGTACTCCCTAGCAGAACACAGAGCCAGAAGTCTCAGCCAGCAATATCTTTGAGGAGTCGAGATCATTCCTACATACAGTTATTAGAGAGGATTTTACAAGGTTTCCCAGGTAGTCATGAAGTTAAACTTCCCAGAACTGGATGGCCAAACCAAAAAAGGCAAGACAAGAAGAACAAAACCAAGAGGAATTAGAATCCCTAAAAGTGTACTGGGACCTGCATTACAAAGATGAGGCCTCAAATCCCTAAAAGAAGTACTCCCTGTAGCCAGGGCAGATGTTGAAGAATGGTCATTCCAAACCTATCTGTGTGTGCCCATTGTAGTGAATGACATCAACCACCTAACCAATCATCTTAAGACTAATCCTACACGACTCCTTTTCCCACACTCCTTAACTAAGTTCTACTAATTCTATAACCTAAAGATCTTCCCCAATTATTTTAGTTCCTCCATTTAGTTTAGAAAGCCTCACCATGTTTTGCCTGCAGTAATACAATACTCTTAACTGATATTTCTCTCTCCTTATTTTGTTTTGCTGTTCAAAATTAACTTTCTAAAGCACCTCTCTGATCCTGTCCCTCTCACCTAGAGCCCTTCACATGGCTTTCCATTGCCCTCAGGATCAAATTTCTGTTACTTAGCACACTCAAGATCTTTCATAGTCTAGTTCCTATGTGTCTGTCCCTCTTCAGACCTTATGTTTAAGCAGTGTGAAATAGTGTGTTCCTGAATGTGCCCTTCTTAGTTTCTAAGTTCCAGTTTTTTAAATGGCTGTATCCTTTCCCTGGATTGACCATCCTTCTACCTAGCTAATTCCTTCAAAATTTAAGTATTACCACCTAGAAACTAGAAATCCTCTGATCCCCTTCTATCAAAGACAAAAGCTGTTAAGTCACTTCTGGTCTCCTCCACACCTGGCTCTCTATTACTTAGCTGACTACCATCTACATCTTCATCTCCTCCATTAGACTCAGCTATGATAAGATGAGGTCGAAGTTTCATGCTTTTATGTACTCCCAGTATCCAGTAGGGTCTGGCAAATAGTAGACAGAACTAGACAGAACTAGGAAATAAGCAGGAAGCACGTTGTGGAGATGTAATTGCACAGTGAACAATGGGAGGGTCAATCTAGAGTAGGCTACCAGGTAACTCCTGACCCTAACTCAGTCACTGACCTGTAAACTGGCCATCTGCAGGTTATCGAGGAGCGCTTTGGGCCCAATGTAGTGGCAGTACCTTTCCTGTCGGATGCGGCCTGCTATGACCTACTGGGTGTGCTAGTGAAGCAGTCCCGCCCAGCCCACACCCGCCTGGCTTTACCAGGTCGGCAGGGTCGGCGGGCACTACAACCAGTGGGGCCACTACCAAACCTCCTGGAGCAGGCAGGGTCCGAGGGTGCCTTTGCCCACTGCACTCGGGAATACTCACCAAATGGCCGAGCAGAGATAACCTATGAAGAAATGCGACTTTTGGAAGGGCACCCCTGCCGGATCCGCCTGCACATGGGTGGCCTGCGTAAGAAGGTGGCCTTCCTGCTGCTGCCACCAGGGCAGGTGAGCCTACAGCAAAATCTTCCCTGGCTCCGAAGCACCCACAGCATCTATGTCATCTACCAGGTCTTCTCCTGTTCCTGGCTGCAGCTGGGGCTGGTACCTACAGCCCGTGAGCCCCAGCTGCTCCGGTTACAACGGTCACTGCCTGTCGCCTTCTCCTGCCTCAAGTTTTCACTGCAGCCCAAAGGAGTGCTGGGACCACAGAAGCCTCTGACCAAAGATCCACTGCCCCATGGTGCCAACTGGGTCAGACCCAACCTCGGCATCATGCCACCTCTGGCCCTCACATCAGTCGCTGCCAATACCCCTGAAGCTGCTGATGTGCCCCCACCTGTCCCAGGCCCACCTACACCACCTCCTCAGGAAGGGCCGGAGGGCAGACCCACCAGATTCTCCTACAAGGGCCGAAACCCCTTCCGCAGGGGGCCCCAGATGTTGTCAGGTACTGCTAGGTGTTATGAAGCTGAAAGGGATGGGATTGGGTAAAGGGGGGAGGGCATGGGGAATACAGGAGTGTGTGCCCAGCAATGGGGAACCCCTAACTCCACACTGGATCCCGGTGACAGGGGATGGAGTGAGGGAGCCAGGGGCAATGAGGTGGAAGCATGGTCCTGGTGAGGGGGTGGGCACAGCATAGAGGGCCAGGGAGGGACCAGGGAGGCAGAAAAACCAGGGCATGAGTCAAGCTGTGACTATCCCCAACCCTGGCAGAGAACTGGCTCTTCAGCCCCCGCAGCCCCCCACCAGGAGTCCAGGGTGGGGGACCCGGGGACCCCGACCGGCACTCCATGTCCCTGCCCCTGCTGCAGGGTCTGTCCTCAGAGTTCGACAGCGACGCATGAAGCTGAAGCGAGAAATGCAGGGGGCGAGGCCCCCAAGATCTGGCATAGGGATACTGGTCCCCAATAAACATCAGCTGCTGCTGCCCAAAATGCTGGGCCCATGCTGCTTCTTCCTTCTGCGGGCCGGAGGAGAGTCCCTACTTTTTCCCCTAGGCTCCATGACCCCCTCACCCATTAAGGGCATAAGAAGCACCCTGAAACCTTGGCACCAATGTCCTCACAAGAGACAAAGTACCCCTAACCTCCCCATTTATGTACAACCTTCCTGGGGCCACAGCCCAGAAAAAAGGGTGGGAAAGAAGAATGAGCACAGAATAGAGATTTCCCTTTTATACATATTGCAACAAGTTCTCCATAAAACATTCATTGGAAATAAATTAAAAAGTCCTCTTGCCACTGCCTCCAAACATAAAAAGGAGCCTATAACCCGGCCCCAGCCCAGGCCATGTGAGGCCCTGATTGTCCATGGAAGAAAGTTAAGGATTGAGGGGCCCGAAGCCTGAGACAGGAGGGCCAGATCCCTCCTCTGAAGTATCCAACAAGAAAGGCGAGGTGACAGCATGGGCTTGGGAGATGGCAGCCAATTCCTTGAGAAACTCAGGGAAAATGACTGCACAGTAGACCGCATTCTTGACTCGCAGAGCCTCACCTTGGCGCTCTGGGGCCCCACCCCGAGGGGGCAGAACTGGAGTTGAAGCCCCAGGGGAGCCCCCACCTAGGCCAAGTCCTGCGCCGTCTCTCCCAGGCTGAAGAACCAACTGTGCCGCCTGCCGGGCCCTGGTTGGACTGTGTGCATGCCGCAGGAGCAACTCCCCCAAGGACGGCCTCCGGCTCTTCACTGGGAATAAATGGGTATTGGGGATTGTGAAGGTGCTGGGGTCAGGCACACTCTCTCGGTCTGAGAGAGATGCCCCCCTCCCTGGGTTCACGAACATCTCAACTATGACTCTAAAACCAAAATGCTGCCTGCCCAGCCTTCTTCCCTCTATCCAGCCTCCCCACCCAGTCAACCATCACCCTCAGCCTTCTCAGTCAGTCAACACTTCAGCTACTTCATTCCCATCCAAGACCTTCTCCGTGCCCTCTCACCCTGAGGGACTCTCTTACTACTCCTCCCTTTCCAACTGTTATTCTACTACCACTAAGCTGTCTCCTCAGTCCCTAACACACCCTTACATTATGCTCCTACACTGGAGCCAACCACTTCCACCTTCCCTCTGCCTGTCTGTAACACATGACCCACATCCCCTGCTCCTTCCACACCCACAGGGCCATATATGCAACAACAATTCATGGGCTTTACCACATGTCCCATACCCTACTACCCTTCCAAAATCTGTTCTCCTGTGCCACCACTCCGCCTACCACCAGTCCCTCTCTTATATCCACCAAAGCCATCCTTTTACTTCACATCAGCTTAGACAATTTCACATGGCCAGAAAACTTTACCTCAGCTTAGACTCAAATGAACCATTTAAAATACTGCCTTCTCTCTTCTAATTTTCTTCCTCGATTACTGGTTCTGGATCTTTGCACAATATGTAGGGCCTAGACTCTAGGGATCTAGGGTCTATATCATGCTATGGTTCTCATTCTCTGTCTCAAACACTGGCTACAGAAATATGCTACACAGATTTACTAAATATGGCATTCAGAACCCTTCACAACCAGGCTCACGTGCCCCTTCCAACCCTTTCTCCAAACTCTTTACACCCTCCCCTGCTTTTGTACCCACACCTATCTGTTCTTCCTGAAAACTTCAACCCTCTTTTCATGCTTCTGTAGCCCTCTATGCCTTAATTTTACTCTCCCCACTGTTTTCATTAGCCCCGTGACCTAATCTCATTATCCCCACCCCCTGAGAAACCTCCTCTGATTTGCCCCCCACGGACTTCCCATTTCGCCGCCTTTATCACACTGTATTGTAATAACTTGTGCACATGTCTTCCATCTCATAGAGAAATCTATGAACTCAAGGGCTCAATCCCTTATTTACCTCCACAGTGAACCAGGACCACAACTATGGAAATAAGACACAGTCACAGTGCTGTACCATGAGGAAATCATGCTAAGGAACATCAGCTGTAAAATAACCATTATGGTACTGTCTTCCCAACTCCTATCTCTCAAGATCTTGCATCTCACCCTGCTCTCTTGCTTTTAGCACATTATTTTGCCTCCTACTTTGATTAGCAAATAAAGGACTTCAATTCCTCACCTTCCCCTCTACACCTCACAAATCCATGGATACAATCACTTCCTCCTACCATAACTCCAGGATGAGTATCATTTGCCTTCAGGGGGCAGGGAACCTTTTCCCATCCGAAGTTAATTCTGACCTGGTACACTACATTCACCACCTTTGGACTTTGCTTTTTCAGTAATGACACTTCTATATTCACTCTCTAGACTGACTATCAGCTCTTAGAAAGCAGTGGTCTCATCTTGTAACTCCCTGAGTCTCCTGTACCAAAGACAATGGCCAACACACAGAGCAAGTACACAGACACTTACTAATGGAAGCTCTAATTTAAAGCTGCATGGTCATATTTAACTCTACCTTCTTCCCTGCACCCCACAACCATTCACCAAACTCTGCCAATACTTCCTTCCCATTTCTACCTTATCCAATTCCTCCTTTCTTTTTCCACTATTCTAATTCAAGCCTTGCTGGTCATAGCTACACTCCATTTTCTCCTGGCTCCAATTCACCTAGCACATGAACTAACATGCTTATCTCTCCGCTGTCATATCTAAGAACACCCAAAGGGTTCTCACTGCCTGAAAGATCACAACTTCTACCCAGCCCAACTTCTCATCTGAGCACCTACGGCTCTGGCCAAATCTTTTCAGCCTTATTAACAAACAATTTCACCACCTTCTAAATCCCCTGCTCCAACTTAATAGTTCGTGTGGTCCCCTAGACAAAAGAATAAAGCCATCCCACTCCTTGGCCTACACAAGGACCACGTCAAATATCTCTCAAGGACTATGTCAAATACCATGTCCTTTCCCAATACCTCAACCTAGAGACTACTCTGTCCCCTTGCCTATCCTCAACTCCTAGAATAATTTTTGCTGGTGCTGCTGATTTGGCTCTGAGTGGACATAACTGTATTTTATCCTCTGACTAGAGCCAGACAACAAACATTGAGACTCAATTTTCTGCAACTTCATGGCACAAGACTCCACCCTTAATAAGAACTCAATTAACCTGGACTAATTAGCTGTCTAGGGAAGATAAGGAAAGGGGTGGAGTGGTGGGGTAGTCCTCACCTAAGGGATCAGAGCGGCGGGGGGCAGGTCCTGCTGCAGGGCCTTCAGCCCAGTCCAACTTGCCACGGGCAATGAGGTACTTCTTGGCTTTGGATAGCAGTGCTGGGAAGTCCTCCTGGGAGGCCGCAAAGCTCTCAATTTTATTCTTCACAGAACCCAGCACCTATGAAGCACAACTTCATGATATTTCTGTGTGGCTCTAGACTGAGAGTCCTTCCTAGTCCCACTGGGTCTGTTCCCAGCCCCCCTAGGGCCACTCCAGCTGCGGGCCTGGCCCGCCACGGAGCCTGGACGCACCCATGCATGCATGCATCGCACACCTGCAGCAGGGACTTGACACTGGGCTGGAAGACCATGTTGGTGTTGAGCAGGAAAGAGCGGAGCAGGGGCTGGGGGTGACAGGCCAGCTGGGCCACCAGCCCCGTCAGCAGGAAGTTGACATAGACGGAGTTCTGCAGCATGTTCTCGAGTTTGGCAAAGAGCACAGCCATGAAGGGGCCTGGGAGGGGTGGGTACAAGGATACAAGGCCTGAACACAATGCACATCGCACTCATTCCTCCCAAAACCAAGAGACACACCCCCCACCATGCCACTAGGTGAAAATTATTTGTATGTCAATCTCCGGGTATATGTTTAAGCATCCTGTGATCACCTACTCTGGAGATGAAATGGCAGACACCAGATGGACCCACAGGAGTCCAGATGCCAGCTTTACACACACTTAAGATGAAGAGCCAGATCATAGATTCTGGAGTCAGACAGACCTGGTTTTAAATTCCAGCTTTATCTTTTACTAGTTAAGTATTGGATGAACCAAAATTCTCCAAGCATAGTTTCCTACTTGGCAAAATAAAATATACCCACCTCATAGGATTATTAAAAGGATCAAAAAGATACTATTATAAAGCAGTCAGCCAAAGATCAAACAAATTATAAGTATTCCGTAATAACTATAAGCTACATAACATCTCTTGGTTTTTTAAAAAGCTTCACCCAGGAGACACAAAAAAGAACAAGCAAGAAGGTGATTGGAACCAAAAGAAGAATCAGGTTACACACAAAACAGAGGATAACACTACACCTGGGTCAGAAGAAACCAAGAATGAACTGTAGCAAAGACAAAGGTGCCTACACAAGCCAACTTCAAGATAGGAGAGAAATCTCTGGAAGCCAAAGAAGAAATCAGCTCTGTTCAAGAACCAGGAACCAAGAAGGCAGAAGAGAATTTACAGAAAAAAGAGATTAGTTCAGAGCCAGAGAAAATTGATTGAGGGCAGACACTTTGCTGGGTGAGAGGATAACAGAAAGGATGAAAACAATCTACCAGGAGAACTGGTCTCAACTGAGCCAGATCACCAAGCATGAGGACTCTAGAACCACCACAGTCTATCTGACCAGGGGTCTGTGAGGGAAACGGATTATACCTAAGAACTGCACTATGAACTAAGGAGAACAACGAAAGCAAAGAGGCAGTGAATTCTGAAAAACATTCTCCACTCCAGATGCACATGAGTAGCCTTAGCTCCATAAACCCTAGTTTAACAGGGTCCCTAAGATACCACATAACTTTGTCCTACTGTTTCTCTTATTTCCTGAGACTCTCTTGCAAGAGAAAATTCAAAAATCTCAGATGAGTTTACAAAGAAGAAAAGGGATACAGCTTCAATTAATGCTTCAAGAATGTGGTAAAACTGCATACCACCTTCTAGTGGTATTGAGCAGGAAGGAGCAAAGCCTAAACAAATGGAAAGCCATTTTCTGTAGTCTGCAAGTGGGAGCTATCAGGACTCTAGAGCAGAAGCCTTGGTGCTGTGCAAGCAGCATATCCCAGGCCAGTAAGGACATGGACTGATCAAGGCACGATAACTTGACTGCGAACAACCAAAAGATGGATAGATACCTTGGTCAACTTTTATCTGCCATGCACTCAAGAGATGATTATCCTAGTAAAAAGCTACAATGTGCTGAGTTCTCCCAATGCAGCAGCATCACAGTAAGTGGTTTAAATGCATCAGTGACATGAACAGACATTATTTCAAGGTGTGTCCAGTCCAAAGCACTACACTGCTTCTCAGAGGTGGTTTTTTGCTCCCTACAGGAAGGGTAGTAAGGATAAGAACCAGGATTGGTAGAGCTGGCTCTCAAACAAAAACCGAAGAGGACTTAACTGGTCAGGTCAGGTCTAGCTCCAGGGTCTTTGGAAAGACCAAAGAACTCAACTGGAGCACTCAGGCCACACTTTTGTCATTTGCCCTCCAAGACATATTTCACGCTATCTGTTTTAGTCCTTACTACTAACCGTAAGACTAGAAGAAAGTCTTAGTGGGTAGTCATAGCAACCAACAAGGCCCAAGGAGAGAAAACAAGAAAATCCTGAAATTGAGTCCTTCTCTGAGGAGACTGGGAGAAGAAAGAAGGCCAGGGTAGAGTAAGGGAAGAACACCAGAAGGGCTGATCCTGGGCTACAGAAAAGTTGACAAGAGACCCAACATCCAGACAAATATACAGGTGGGAACAGCATGGCTTACAGGTGCCTCACATAGAGGATAGCAGGTATGTCCTCCATATGTATTGTTCAGATATATTGCTGTGATTCACCAGGAAACACCAAACACAGAACACCCTGATTACAATCCCAGGAAAAGGCCAGACTAGGGAAAAGGAGGAACATGCACATAGGACACACATACAAGGCTCAGACATAAATCAATACTCAAATCAGCACAAGCATGGAAGATGTACAGACAGACACAGAGACATTAAGTACAACATGATATGTGTCTGGAAGGGACCCAAGCAAAATGGATGAGGAGCTGGGCAAGTACACAGAAATGACATGGCCAAGAAATCTCAGATATTAGCACAAACATGTCAAGTACATGCAAAGAGTGTAAAAAGGAGAAGGCCTAGGCTAAATAGCTTACCAGTGAAGGGCTGGCTTGGCAGCTGGTTGAGAGTCCGCAAAGGGCTGCTGAGGAAGGGGCCAGGGGGCTCAGGGGGACAGGTGAAGCTCTCATAGGCCTCCTCCTCCTCAAGAGGTAGTGGAGGCTCTAGCAGGGGTTCTGAGCCAGCCCCCCCATTGCTCAATGCCACTTCCAGTTCCCGGAGCTCCTGCCCAAAGCCCTCTAGTCCTGCCATGCCCTCGGAGGTGCCCTCTGGCAGTTCCCCAGCTCCCTCCTCAGGTACCCGACGAACCTTCTTGGCCCCCTCAGGCCATGGTCCTGGCACCCCATTGACCTGGGGAGGGGGCAGGAGGCCAGGGCCCTCCCCTGAACCCCCAGCAAGCCCCCCACTCCCCAGCTCTTCATCCTCCCCTTCCCCCACAGTGTCCCTGTCCTCCTCAGGCAGTAGGCTGCGTTTCTTAGTCCGGGAGCCAACAGGACTGGGCTCAGGAGGGGGCCGCTCGCCATCATACGGGGCAGACCAGGTACGGCAGGCTCGGACACACCGGTCCACACCACGGCGTGCCTCACGCAGATACTCCAGGTAATTGTCTTCCAGCTCACCAGGCTCCTCCACAGGGCTGGGCCTTCGGCCAGGGCTGGAGGCTGGGGATGCAGCAAGCCCTGGTGAGCGAGGGGCTGGAACTGGGGATTCCGAGCCACCCAGACTTTGCTGTCGCAGGAACAGGGCCAGACGAGATGGTGTGGAGGGCCGGGGCACTGTCACCACAGAAGAGGAGTCAACACTTGGGCTTCCAGGGCCTACAGAGGGAAAAAACATAAGAGGGATCAAAGAGACAGAGGGCTAAGAGGAAGGATAAGACACCTACGGAGACTGATAAAGAAGACAATGAAGCAATAAAGACATGTGATCTATTCAGGCAGCTGATTCTCCACCCTCCTAATTAAGCTTTTCAGCATCCACCACCTCCTCTCACCACCCATAACACCAAAGAAACAATGGAAAATAGAAACAATACAGGACTGGAATGAAGAAGAGCAACTTTGCTCAGAAGCTACATTTCTTTGGTGGAGTTAAGGATCTACCCTGCAAGACCCCTCATCGACCACCACAAAGACAGAATGCCACTCATGGCCACCCTTCTCCGCACACCCTAGCCCCACCTTCTTGCTAGGCTTTTCAGAACCCAGGCCATACCCGTGGTGTCCTCCCTTCTCCCTGCCTCTCTGCTAGGCCCACCTCGTGCCCATGAGGCATGCTCTGGACGGGGTGGGCTAGGGGCATGATGCCGACAACAGCGGGGGATTAGGGAGAGAAACTTGTCTGCCGCTCGTCCATATAGGTCCACATCACGTACAGCTGGCTTCTGGCTCAGCATCACATGGTTACATGGGACAAGATACCTGGGAAAGACAGCAGAAAAAGGACACAGGATAGATCAGGAAGGACAGGACCTGGGAGAACATCAAGCCAATGAAACTATATGACTAAGCCAGGAAACACATGAGCAACCCCAATACAACCCAATGCCCAGCAGTGCACAAGGCCTGGAGGGTTCAGGATCAGCCATCCCTCAGCCCTGTCCCCACAGGTACCTGAGAACCAGCTGCAGCAGGACATCCTCACAACTGAGGTTCAGTAGGGTCCTGAAGAGACTCAGAGAGACCATGCAGAGCTGGGGAGGTGGGGGAGGAGGGAGGGAGTCACCATAAAAGCTCTCTACCCTCCAAGATGTTTACCAAATGGGAACCCCCCAGCCCCAGGCCCAACCAACCACTCCTAGAGTAACAATGTGCACAGGGCCTGGCATATAATAATCATTCAATTATTAAATAAATGCTCATATGATCTTTATAGGCAAGACTTCACTGTTCATAGATAGGAGTGAACCATATGTCAGATTCTGTATTTCTATAGACCACACACATGTCAGCAGACTCTCTGGCTATGGAATGAGTACCCATGAAGAGAGACCCCAAGAAATACTGGGACTGAGTGAATGACTACCAGGAGCCAACAGCAATATGATAACTGAGTAAATGCCTGTCAGTAGAGACCACAGCCGAGGCCAAGCAGAAGCCAAAGGGAACCTGGAAGAATCCCAGCTGCGAAGTAGGTGGGGCTGTGAACAAGGAATCTGAGTCACCTCTCCAATACTGGTGTATCTCTCAGAAGGTAGAAGAAAGAGAAACTCAAGCACAGCTGACAGGAAAAGGAAAAAATAGGTGGGTCCAGAATAGAGGGAACCATTTGTTTTAGAAAATAAGAAAGTGGTTCTTCTCTGGCTAGGTGAAGAGAAGGGAAGAGTATAGATGTGTGTAAGCACTCCCTCAAAATCCTCCTCCAAATCCCCACAGCACTTTCTCTCTACTTCCCTCATGGCAAGTATACCTGGAGCTCCCTGAAGACCAACTACTGGGTCTTAGGCCAGGACACCGCTGCACAGTCTGGTGCTCATCAGTTACTAAATGACTGTGGGAGCATTAAAAGTCAACTGTAGCAGGAAAGAGATGAGAGAGCAGTTCACATTTTGGACAGTGAAAACGTTCAGATTTACCCTGACCATTTTAACTAGCAAAGGAAACATTCACACTCATGGTAGGTAGAAAAATGGCCCCCCGAAGATGCAAGATGCTCAGGTCCTAATCAGAATCTGTATTTTTACCTTACATGACAAAAGGTACTTTGTAGATATGATTATGGTTATGGAATCTGAGATGGGAAGAATAGCCTGGATTATCCAGGTGGGCCCAATCAAATCACATGAGTCCTTAAAAACAGAGAACCTTTTCCAGCTGGGTCAGAAAGAAGAAGGAAAAGAAATCTGAAGCATGAGAGAAACCTGATTCATCATTGATGGCTTTGAGGATGGAAGGGAGCCATGAAACAAGGAATTTGGTTGGCCTCAGAATATGGGAATGGTCCTCTGCTGACAGCTGACAAGAAAACAGGAATCTCAGTCCTACAACTCCAAGGAAACAAATTTTACTAACAACCCTACCGAGCAAGTAAACAGATCTACTCCTAGAGCCTCCAGAAAGGAACACAAGCCCACCAAACATTTTGATTTTAGCGTGATGAGATCCGTGTCATAGTATGATGTACAGAACTGCAAGATAATAAATCCATGTTGTTTTAAGCACTACATTTGTGGTAATTTGCTATGACAGTAATAGGAAATTAAAACAGATAGCCAGGGTACACAGACTGATAAGCTAGCATGATTCACTTTAAGCCACAAAAGACAAGCTTAAAGAAGTTCAAAGTCAGGGCAACTGATTCACGCCTAAAAAGGCCAAGCAACGGAAAGGAAAGCAATTACACATTTAACACAGACATCCTGAAATCAGAAACATTCTGGTTCCTCCAAGAAGCAGGAACCAGGAAGAAATAGCCCAAGAATCTGAAGGCCCTTGAGACCAGAGGACCAAATGCAAGACTAATAGAAACAAATGCTAAAGACGAAAGAATATGAGAGAGAATCAAAGAAGTGAGGATAATACTAAGATGAAAGGAAGACAGAGCCTCACATAGGGAAAAAAAAAAATCAACCTCAAGAAGGAAATCAATGGTCCCAAAACACGAACAGGACATCCCATTAGGTTAAAGATATAAGACCATGGTTTAACTTTAGCATAACGAGAAATAAACCATTTTTGGTATCTTTATAAAATTAAAGTTTTGACTCCTATCCCTTATTGATTTTTACCAGTAATACTTAATCCATGCATGTATCATAATTACTTAAATCATATGCCCTATGTATTATAATTCAAGAAAGCTAAGGCAGAACCTAGAATATGTTGTTGTTGTTGCCATTTTCAAATTCTGAAGTGTTCACCTGGTTCAGAAACACTGGTCTCATCAGAGTCAGTGTGAAATATCTCATCCATACCCTTAATTATTCAGATACCCTTCAGACACCCTTAGTTATTCTATACCCTTCAGTTATTCATAGCTCTTCCGAAACCTCACCTACCACAAGGCTGACTACAGATATCTCAAGGTATCTCAATTATCTTGAACAAGTTTTCCATAACATTTAGTAATCCAAGAACTTCTTTTTTAAACATATGGACCTAGGGAACTTCAATTATTTATAATAAGGAAACAAAAATGGTTGCGGAGCCAAATAAATGCCATAAAATCCATGACTAAACAAATAGCTTTATTCCCCTAGAAAGACTTTGGGTCTTTATTACGTAGAAACTACTTACTCCTATTTCATATATTGGTTAAAATCCAAACTTCTTACCATGGTCTACAAGGCCATGCATGATCTGAATCTTACCTACCTCTCAACTTTCATCTCATTTCCTTCTCCCTCTTGCTCACATCACCTCCACTTATACTGGTCTTTCATTTCCTCAAATACATTCAGCTCACCCCCATCTCATATACTTTGCATGTTGTTCCCTCTGCCCAGACTCTTCTTCCACTTGTTCTTCAATAGGCAAACTCCCTCATGACGTTTAGGTCTCAGCTCAATGTCACCTCCTCAGCGAGGTTTCTGACCACCCTATTATTTCCTAAGCCCGCTGTTTAGTTTTTTTCATAACAATGACCACAATTTTCAATTATTCTATTAATGGGTTTGTGTGTCTATAAAGGAAGCTCCATGAAGTCAGCAACCATGTCTATCCTGTTTAACATTTATCCTTAGTACGAGAAAACAGTAAGGCATGTAGCGAACATTCAGTATAAATGTTCAGGAAAAAGGAATGTTTAAGTCGGTAGGTGGACAGAATAGGTGCTCTGAGTTATAGCAGTTCAAATGCAGCAAATCCAAAGGGGAGAAAAACTAATCATACCAGTAGCAGCAGGATCATCTATCAAAGCAGACATAAAACATGGAGAAGTGATCTCGAGTTACCCACAGCAGGCCACAGAACAACACACAGCTAAAGAGAACCTCACGCCAAAGCTACAAGTATAGCACAATGGCAAAACCTCTAGTCATGACGAGCAGCCAGTTATCCAGAAAAAGTAACCGTGTTCTAGATTCATATATTACAAAAGCAAGGCAGTAGATTAAAATCTATACCCAATATGATAAAAAGTTTAATACTGGAAAGTAAATGCCACCTAACTTTGAAGTGACTGCTGGAGACAAAGGCCAAAGAAGGGCAGGCACACCCTCCCAGAACAAAGGTCAGAGAGAGAAGATGGCTCACCCAGGTAAGCCAGGACAGAGGTAGGGGCCATACCCGGGAGTTGCTGCCAATACGGGCAACGAGGGTGTCAAGGATGGTGTGGGTGTCATGCCGGTGTAACAGCAGGAATCGCAGGAAGGTACGGAGCAAAGCAGGCTCTGAGATACTCCGCAGGAAAAGTTCCAGATAGGCGGTACTGGCAATCATCTCCTCCACAGAGGTCTGGACGAAGGGAAGGGAAAATTTGGAAATTTAGTGCTTCCCTGTACATATACTGAGTTATTTTCCCTGAGTTCTAAGGAAGAAGCAGGAACAGACATGGAAAAAGGGAGGAGTACCCTGCCCACCGCCTCCCCTATTAGTTCTGGCATTTAGGTCACCACCCCTCAGCCTAATACCCTGATTTGCCTTGCCACCCATAACTCTCACCTTGTGCAAGGCAGGGCCCATGACAGGCACCAGAAACCCATTATGGATATAATCAACTAGCTGCTTCTGCACCAAAGGGTGAGCCACCTGTAGGGGTGCAAGAGAGAGAGGGAGGAGCAATGTGAGGTGGCCACTGTATGGAAGGGAATAGAATGGTACAAACAGGCATCCCACCCCCAAGATGGCAGAAGAGCAGAATTCTAGGGAATATGCCCCCTTCCCCCTTATCTCCCCAGAATGACCAAAGACCAGACCTCCTGGGAACCCCAGTCCCACCTGAATGACTGCATTGCAGAATTCTAGGGAACTCATGAACAGCGCAAGGGCTGGCACGCCCAGCCAGTCTTCCCGTCGCAGGCAGTGCCAATCATCCCCCGGAACCTCAATCTTTCGGGGCAGTGAGGAGTACAGGGCACTCAGCCCTGTGGCCAGCACCTGGGGGCCATCCCCAAGGACAGGTTACCAAAAGCTCAGATAATATAAAAAAAGGGGAGCAGGGGAGTAAGTAACCCAGAGTTTTGACAGGAATAGGGGAAAGAGCTATTCCCAAGTCAGATATTTAGTTACCAAATGTGCCAGGACATCACCTGGGAACACTGGCCCATGAAGAGCCTTAGTACTGGTGCTATCCACCTAAGCCCATGTTTCATTCCCACCCCAACTCCAGGTACTTCTTTCAAACCTAGGGGCTACTACCTAAAGGAGAAGGACCCCATACATAGCCCCTCCACATCTTCTGGATAGCAAGATGCTATCCAACGTCTACAAACCATAGCCCACCCCCCATTCCAGGAGGTGCTGACCGGGCAGAAATAAGAGTGATCTGCAATGTAGCGGCCCACAGTGGGACTCCCAGCCGACAGAGCCATCAGCAGGAGTAGGGAGTCACGAGCCTGCTGGCCCAGCGTGCCCTCTCGATGGACGAAAGGAACGAGGCGAGAAAAGAGGAGAAGACGGGGGGCAGCTCCAGGCTCAGGAGGTGGCTGTAGGAAGAACTCGAGCAATGAAGGCTCCCGGGCCAGACACACACACAGCTGGCTGAGAAGTAGCACCAGGCCTTCATCCAGTGCTGGGCTACTGGGCACAGGATGGCCACAGGCATCCAGCAAGGTCAGTAGAGCCTCACGAACTGGACCATGTCGCAACAGTGGCTGGCGAGCTTCACTCACTAGCATCTCAAACAGCTTCAGTTGCTCGGCTCGCCGTTCCTCAACCCCATCCCCAAGCTCATCCCACAGAAGCTGCCACGCCAACACACGGGTTAGCAGGTCCTCACGCAGAGCAAACTCCAGCAAGGGCCCAGGGGCCGTAGGGGCTGAGGGGACGGCACGATCTTCTACCAGCAGTGTCAACATCTGGTACGTGTGGTTGCGCACAGCACTGAGATCATCCGCACCCCCAGGAGCTGCCCGAGGGCCTTGCCGCTCCAGGATACGCACCACCTGAAGAAACAGGAAAGAAGACTGCAGGAATCTTAGATGAAATAATGACTAAATGGGATGGTGAGAGTACACAGTAGGTTGGAAGAACTCAGGCAGCCAGTAAATCAGGCCACTTGGCATAGAATCTCCTACCTGGGACCAGTGATTTTTGAAGACCATGAGGCAGGTCTCAGGATCAGCCACAACAGGGGTCTGCATACTGGCCCCCTGAGGTACACGGTGCCCAGGGCCCCGGGAGGCCAGTCTGCTCAGCCAGTTCATCCTCTCCATGAGGCAGGCTGGGCAGGGCCAGCGGCCAGAGGGCCACTCTCCAAGAATCTGCCAGCTGGAGGCTTTCTCCACTTGTGTCTCTAGTCTGCTTCATCCGGTCTGCAGGAGCCAGTAGCTGGCCATGGAGCCAAAAGATACACCAGGCTGGAGCAGTGAGTTCAGAGATCACTGCCTAGTCCCGACCGGCAAATCTAATTCAAAGATAGAGAAGGAAGAGATCAACAGGAGTTTGCCTCTCCCACTTTCCCAAAAGAACCCAGAGCCACCAATCCACTGAAAATTCCATGCACACACGCACACCATAGCATCTTAAATGTAATGTGTTTAAAAGAGAACTCATTTCTACCATCAAACCCGTTCCTCCTCCAGCCTTCTCCATCTCAAGAAATGATAACAACATTCACCTACATGCTCAGACCAAAAACTTGGGCATCATCCTTATTTATTTTCGTTAATTCCAACATCCAATTCATCAGCAAACCCTATCACCTCTACCCTCAAACATGTCTTACTATTGTAATAACTTCCAGTCTGGTCTCCATGCTTCAGTCTTGCCTCCCGCCCTCCTCCCCTGACAGGTATTTCGTTTTATTTTATTTTAGTTTAGTTTAGTTAGTTAGTAGGCTCCATGCGCAGTGTGGAGCCCAATGTGGGGCTTGAACTCAAAATCCTGAGATCAAGACCTGAGGTGAGATCAAGAGTCAATGCTTAACTGACTGAGCTGAGTCACAGAGTATTTGTAAAACCCTAATTATGTTACATCTCACCTCTGCTGAATACCTTTCAAAGATTTCCCATCACACTAGCAATAATCCAAATCCCTTACCTTGGCCTCTAGGGCACTATATGATCTAATCTGCATTAACATCCTACCATCCTCGTCCTCACGATTGATTTACTCGTACAGGTCTTCCTAAATAATCTCTATTCCCTCTGCCTGGAGTAATCTTCCCCTGATCTTCACTTTCTTCCCATCGCTCCATTCTTTTTGAATGCCATCTCCTCAGAGAAACCTTACTTAATTATATCTTAAAAGCACATCTTCCCACCTTCACTCTCTAGCTTCCTAATCTTACTTTCTTCTTAGCAGGCTTCAGCACCTAAAGATATTTATTTACTTATTTATTTGTCTAGCTTTCCCACCAGAATGCAACCTCACTGAGGGCAAGGTTTATCTATTTTATTTACTGCTGTATCCCTAGTACCAGAGCATTACCTAGGAATTCAGTAAATATCTGCTGAATGTATGAATGCTTAAGTGAATGAATGAATGAATGAACAAATGAATGAATAAACAAACAAACAAATGAATGATCAAGAAACCCAGTCTTGAGGTGCCTGGGTGGCTAGGTCAGTGAAGCATCTGCCCTTGGCTCAGGTCATGATGGGGGTCCTAAGATTGAGCCCCACATTGGGTTCCCTAATCTTCGGGGAATCTGCTTCTCCCCCACCTTTCACTTCTCTTCCTCTCCCACTGCACCTTTCTCTCAGTGTGTGCTCTCTCTCGCTCAAATAAATAAATAAAATCTTTAAAGAAAGAAAGAAAAGAAAAGAAACCCAGTCTTGAGGTGCCTGACTGGCTCAGTCAGTAGAGCATGGAACTCTTCCATCCACACTGTCCACATTGGGAGGTTCACACTGGGTGTAGAGATTACTTTGAAAAAATAAAATCTTAGAAAAAAAAAAAAAGGAAAAAGAAAAGAAGGAAAGAAAAGAAACCAGGTCTCAATCTGACTCCAGACACCTGGGACTACTGAGGAAGAAATTTTTTTTCTACCAATCACCGGCCCTCCCTAGAAGCCCACCCAATAGGAAATAATCCAACAGACCCTTAACTACCTGAATACACACATAAGAGGTGGAAATTCAGAGCAAACCAAAAGAGCAGAACAATTTTCATTCCAGCAAAGAACACAGGGACACATTCCCATATACACACATATACCCCAATCCTGCCAGATTTTTACAACACTCACTCCTGGGGACATGACATGACACCCTCAGTAAAGAAAGGGGAAAAGTACTAAAACAGCTGTTGGCCTAGACCATAGCTCACAGCTCCTTCTCTATCGTACCCCTCACCCCTCAGCAATATTATCTCTGACAAGTAAAAAAATTTCAGAGGAAAGGTGTGGTTCAGTTGTCCTTCCTCTTTTAAGTTCAACAAAGGCTGAAGGAACCCAGAGACCTGGCACCAGCCCCACACTTTGCCCTCGGGTTACATTAACATCTTTCCCTTCCACCCAGATACTCTCTCTCACCATTAACAACTCACAACTAAAGAAAGGTAGCAACTAGGCTTAAGGAAACCTAGAGAACAGAAGAGACAGTCTTATAAAAAAGGGCATGGCCAATACTGAACATCAGGCTGGGCTCACTCACTGATTAACTCAAATACATCCATACTGATAAAGTACTAAGTACTCTGCTAAGTAATCAATGGAAATATGAAGACAGAAAAAAACATTTGGGTGGGGAGCGTAAATAAAAACTCCAATGAATATTATAAACAGAGGTACTTACAAAAGAGTTACAGAGACATGAAAGAAAGCAACTAATTCTGCCTGAGAGATTATAACAGGATTCCAGAAAAGAGGTGATGTCTGACTTAAGTCTTTAGCAATGAGATACTGGCCACAAAGAGAGTAGAGGGAATGGCCTTCGCATTAAAAACAGTATGTACAAAAATATGGCACTGTGAAAAAAACATGACAAATTTGAAAATCAGTTCCAAGTTTGGGGTGGCCTAATCACAGACTACTTAGAGAAGAAAGAAACATTATTGAGTTGGAGGGTAAATATGGATGAAGAGTATCATTATCACTGAGTATCATGCTAACAAGTTTAGGTTTTGTCTATTGACACCCTGGAAACAAAGGAGGTTTTTAGACAAGAAAATGACAAGATCAAATTTGCTTTTAAAAAAGATGTCAGATAAATTATCATATGATGTCTCTGATATGAGGAATTTGGAGGGATTGGGAAGGAAAAAATGAACAAGATGGGATCGGGAGGGAGACAAACCATAAGAGACTCTTAATCTCACAAAACAAACTGAGGGTTGTTGCTGGGGGTTGGGGGGGTTGGGATAGGATGGTTGGGTTAGGGACATTGGGGAGGGTATGTGCTATGGTGAGTGCTGTGAAATGTGTAAGCCTGATGATTCACAGATCTGTACCCCTGGGGCAAATAATACATTATATGTTAATTAAAAAAAAAAAGAGAGAGAGAAATGTCAGATAGCAGTGTAAGGTGGAGTAGAGAGAGGCAGACGATAGACAAAGTAAGGTGGTAAGAGCAAAATTAGAAAAGATAAATCTGAGATTCACCTTTATCTTAGCATGTCCCAGGTGATAATGAAATTATTTACAGCTATATTATCTCTGCCAATAATAGCAAGCTATTTCAAAAGGGACCATATCATTCATTCTTCTTTGCAATTACAGTGCCAACACAGTGCCTGGCTTTCAAAAATGCTTGTGGAACTGAATGCTAAATTTAAAATAATTATAGCTAACATATATTAAGCACTTACTACATGCCAGGCTCTACTCTAAGCACTATATGCAGTAGCTCATTCAAACCTCATAAAAACCCTAGATGTACTAGTATCTCCATTTTACACATGAAAAAATCAAAACCTACAAAGGCTAAATATACTGTCAAAGTTAACCAGCTGGTAAGTAGCAAGACTGGGATGCAAATGCAGATAATCTGCATCCACTTAACTTGAAGTAACAAGACCTGACAAATGGATGGAGGATAATTGAAGACTCTACCACATATAGGAGATTCAGTAAGAGATAATGCCATTAATAGGTGAGAAACGCATAACAAAGGTGTTTTAGAAAAGAGGATGAATAAACTTTGTTGAGCTTTGAGATATGTTAAACTTTGAGACATCTATAGGATATCAGAAAGCAAAGAGAAACATTATACTTGAGCTCAAGAGTGAAATCAAGACTAGAGATATATATCCAGGAATCAACAACTTATAGGTGGTAGATGAAGCTATGGAGATGGATGAAATCTCCAAAGAGAACAGCAGATCTTGAAAGGAGCTGAGAGTGACATCCTGGGGAAAACCAGAAATTAGGAAAGCAAGGAAGTATCTTTGAGGACTGTGAAGGGAGCCAGAAATGGAAGGAAAAAACAAGAAATAATGATAATCTAGAAATCAAGGAAAGGAAGTTTCAAGAAAGTGGAGATCGCCAAAATATACAGTTTACAGACAGACTAAGTAGAATGAATGTTAAAAATGATCAGTCGGTTTTAGCAATCAAGTTTTAGATAAACTTAGGGAAGTAAGTAGTTAAAGAATAACTAAGAGCTAAAGTAGTGTAAGATGCAATACAGGAAAGTCAGTGACAAAGGGAAGGATGAAAATACGGCAACAGCTTAAAGAAGCTAGGAGGGGTGGGAGGTGAGGAGTCAAGAGAAAGAGTTTTTATCCTTTGGTGTTTTATTTTAGGACACAAGTATGTCTGTCAAATGAGGAAAAGTATGAAGAAAGTAACAGGTTGTGGACAAATAAGATGGGGATAACTGACAGACAAATCAGATATAGGACCACGCTGAGAAACTGAGGTATTCCACTTTCTCTGAGAAAGGAGGAAACAGTAACAAAGGATGGGTGCCGGTTCAGGAAAATCTGAAATCTGAAGGGCACTTGGGTGGCTCAGTGGGTTTAAGCCTCTGCCTTTGGCTCAGGTCATGATCCCAGTTCTTGGGATTAAGCCCCGCATCCAGTTCTCTGCTCAGCAGGGAGCCTGCTTCCTCCTCCTCTCTCTCTCTCTCTCTCTCTCTCTCTCTCTCTCTCTCTCTCTGCCTCTTTCTGCTTTGTGTCTGTCTTTCAAACAAAAAAATAATAAAAAAAAAAAATCTTTAAGAAAAAAAAAATCTGGGGCGCCTGGGTGGCTCAGTGGGTTAAAGCCTCTGCTTTCGGCTCAGGTCATGATTCTGGGGTCCTGGGATCGAGCCCCGCATCGGGCTCTCTGCTCCGCAGGGAGCCTGCTTCCTCCTCTCTCTCTGCCTGCCTCTCTGCCTACTTGTGATCTTTGTCTGTCAAATAAATAAATAAAATCTTTAAAAAAAAAAAATCTGAAATCTGAAATGGGGAAGCTAGTATCCATCACCACCCACCAACCACCTAATCCTCCCACACTCACTCGCCCAAGAGAATGGGGGTGGT